TGTGCCACCACGTTTAGTTAATCTTTAAACTTATAGTAACTTATTCTCATCAACATATCTCTTGACAATGGCAGGCTGAGCTCCTCAAAAAAAGGTACCAATTCCAAGGCTAGATAAGCCTGCTCGCAGAAATCAGTTAAGAAACCCAAGGACCTCCACTGAGAAACCCCTTTATGCAGGAAAGATCCAAGATGGCACCTGAAACCCATTCCCAAGAGAACTTTGGACAAACTTTTCTTCATTAGCATACTAAAAATCATGTCCATGGGTGAAGATTTAACATTAAAATTAGCATGCTTTAAAATGTACAGCTAGGTATGTTCCAAGCACATTTAAGAACTGCACATGCTGCCTTGTAAATCTGAAAACTCTCTACCCGTAAACCCACCTATCTCTCCCACCCCCAACCGCTNAAAATCTGAGTACATGAATAGACACGTCTCCAAAGAGGACATACAGACGGCCAACAGACATGTGAAAAGATGCTCAATGTCACTAATCATCAGGCAAATGCAAATTAAAACCACCATGAGAAAGGTGGTTTTATACCTTTCTTACATCTGTCAATAACCTAACAAAAAGCAAGTGTTGGTGAGGATGTGGAGAAAAGAGAATCCTCATTCCCTGCTGGTGGGATTGTAAACTGGTGCAGGCACTATGAAAAACAGTATGGAATTTCATCAAAAAATTAAAAATTTGATCCGGTGTATAGAATCAGTAAAAAGGAATTGCTGTAAGACCCAGCAATTCCACTTCTGGGTATATATCCGAAGAAATCCAAAATACTAATTCAACCCCATGGAATACTATGCAGCTGTAAAGAAGACGAATCTTGTACCCTTTGGGACATTATGGATGGACCTGGAGAAAATTATGCTAAGTGAAATAAGCCAGGCAGAGAAAGACAAACATCACATGATCTCGCTTATACGTGGAATCTAAAGAACTTAGTAAACTGATGAACAGAATAGATTCAATGACATGGAAGCATAGATGAGACTGATGAATGTCAGAGGGAGGGAGGAGGG